GTAAACCATATGTCGCATATTAGAGGCCCGTGTTTTAATGACCCGCTCTCTAAATCAATTCATGAGATTTAATTAAACAAGGGCGATGATGTCAAATTTGAGAGTAATCGTTGAAACTAGGTAGACGGTGTTACTCTGCCAAGTCGTTGGTTTCCCTGTCTGATTCAGGCAACCCAAACCATGCTTCATCAATAATTCTTTCATAAAGGAAAGACTAAGAGATGTAATAGTCCGCACAACTGAAGGCGCTGTCAAAGGATTTCAACTCAAATGATATAAAGACACTCTCGATAGTTCCCTCAAGTAGATTCGGACTTGGGCCCCGCACTTTCAATGGGCCCCACGCTAATTCCAGGTGAATGATATTAAATTAAAACATTTTAGCTTATAAACAATTAAAGGGTTTACGCTGCTTCCTGATTTAAAAGAGCTCCTGGAAATCTCATGTTATTGCAAAATATACACACAAAAAAAGTCATTTAAATTTCCTGACATTAAAAAAACTCATGAAAAATAGACAAAATTGTCATTTCGGGGTGCCAATCCTACGCGCGATAAAAAAAAAAAGGCATTGTCAGCTTCCATTTAATAAAAATTGATTGCAAAGACAAATGTATTTTCTAAAACAAAATTCTAATTTTGACATTATGCTTATCCCTACCCAGACTGGGCCCCGCGCAATCCGTTTCGCACGTGACCTCTATGTCGAAGGCGCCAGTTTCGTATAGGGCTCCTCAATTGTTAGGGCCGGCCGTGCCCTCAAGGATCGGAGAGTCGACCGAAACCCATGAGTAAGAAGAACTAGCCAGTAATCGCTCCTCATAGCGCGGAGTCGCCAGTGTCGTTGTTTCAGGCTAAATGGGCCAAAACGAACGCCGCCACAAAAACAAAAAAAGAAGGAATAGCCAAAAAAAAACTTAGAGCACAAACAAGACATATTGCGAGGTTTTCCAAAGCGAAGATCGAACTTTAAAAGGCCCATACCATCTTTGACTTAATAGGAAATGATAATGAGCTCAAGCACTAAGAATATGGTGGCTGAGTAGTAAAGCGATTAACTTCCGAATGGGGAGTTCGAAACCTGTTGAAGAATAGGATTTTTAATTTCTGGAGCTTTGGGCGCCACTGAGTCCACCCATCTCTAATGGGTACATGACATTAGTTGGGAAAAAAAGTAAAGGCGATTGGTCATTGTGCTGGCCACATGAACTTTAATACTAAGAATATTTATTATTATTATAAAAGAACGAATATTCATTCTCTATCATTATTATTTTTACTTTGTGGCTGTAAGCTCACTTAATTGATCTATTTGTGACAGCTAACAAATCCAGAAGTAGAAGTGTAATGACATACAATAGGTGTGTTGCTTTTCAAGAGGTGTGTTGCTTTTCAAGAGGTGTGTTGACCTACAAGAATTGTGCTGCTATTCAAGAGGTGTGTTGCTTTTCAAGAGGTGTGTTGCTTTTCAAGAGATGTGTTGCTATTCAAGAGGTGTGTTGACCAATAATAGGTGTGTTGCTATTCAAGAGGTGTTGTTGCTTTTCAAGAGGTGTGTTGACCTACAAGAATTGTGTTGCTATTCAAGAGATGTGTTGACCTACAAGAGGTGTGTTGCTATTCAAGAGGTGTGTTGGCATACAAATGGTGTGTTGATATACAAGTGGTGTGTTGACCTACGATTGGTGTGTTGACTACAACTGGTGTGTTGACATATAAGTGGTGTGTTGACATACAGTTGTGTTCACTGAACTCATAACACATCGCTTGAAAGGCTAAAAAAAAAAGAGTGCAGATTTGTGTATACAGAACAAACTATAGGGCGCAAGGCGCCCCACACACTATTGTTGTATCTATGCGCCTAGGTTCTTTTAAACCTTACTTAAACATCTGTCTATAGAGTCAAGTAAAAATTTCATTAGCCAGTTAAGGGAGGTAATGCAGCTATCATGAATGACTTCTGTAGTCACACTTTAACTGAGACCACCCCCTGAGTCCACCTCACCCCCTGAGACCAGGACAATGAAAATAATCAGCGCCGCCCCCTTCCCTCAATCAGTTTCCCTCTTTCTTTCCTGTTTTAACCTTTTCAAGTCAATGTGTGTGTGTGGTGTTATAAGATTACAGGTAAAAAAAAAAGTTATAACGCTGGGTAAAAAGTTCATAGACTGGTACATAGAGATGTGTCCAAATGGGAGTATTGGAGATTATCGTGTGGACAATACAATAAACCATTGCGATTAGCCTTCACTGTCCATATGCCTGGCGGAAGAGACGCGTCACTTGCGTTGGTTGGGGCTGCTTTAAGAATATAGCGTAAAGGTCAGTTGTGTGGCTTACCAGGAAGGAGAGCAGAAGTCAATCTTATCTTATCTTATCTTATAAAATACAGACGTTACTTCAAAAAAAGAAGACGATTACGTCCTAAGCATTATGCGTCTAGTCACGCATGTTGACCAATGACTTAAATTCTGCCAAGTCACTGGTTTTCCTGGCTACATCAGGCAACCCATTCCATGCTCTAATAGCACTAGGGAAGAAGGAGTATTTGTACAAATTTGTCCTAGCATATGGAACGAGGAATGTGCCTTTATCTTTGTGTCTAATGCTTGAATGTTTCCTCGTCGAGTGTCCGATTAGGGTAAAGCTTGCGCTAATTAATGAACATTTGACTGATGGGAAGGATTTTAAACAGAGGAGTGAGAGATGGATCGCCACCGACTCCAACTTCCGGAAATCCATCATTTAATCACATCCGTTTTGACGAGATACGGTCTTCCTTGAGACATCGTCATGAGTTGTTGAATCATTCTATACAATTCCCCAAACTTCTGACACCATAATACCTTATTGAAAATTTAATAACTGTAATATCCCACCATCGGTCAGAGTGTTACAAGATCAGCTGTCATCATCGAGAAGTGCATAGAAGTCCAATTCATAAAGCGCTGGTTGTGAATGTGTATGTGTTTCGTGAGTGAATGTTGTTAGAATTTTTCATCCATATTGTTATTGTACAGTAGTTACGCTGAGGTTGTCAATTGTAGTCAAACTGAATTTCCATTTGACTGGATCAATAAAATTATCTTATCTTATCTTATTTTATCATCTCAACTTCACCCCTTCTCCTTTTCCTTAGTCTGTTGCAAGGTTGGAGCACAACACATGATCTGTTCTCGGTATTTCTCCATTCATCTTTGTCTTTTTCCTTGAATAGAATCTTCGTCAATCTCGTCCAATCTTTGATGTTATTTTCCCGTCGATTTCTCTGTCTGCCTCTTCTTTTTCCTGGTACTGTTCCCTGTACGAAAGCTCTTTGCAAACCCTGGTCATATATAGATTCAAAAGGAGATGGCTAAGACTCAGCGTTGAATTTCTTTTAATGTCATTTACTCTTTCACCAAAAGCATGCTACGCCCATGGGGAAAAAACCCGAGTTCGCTAGACCAGATTTTGAATTCATTAGATTTCGTTCCTGTGGCGGTATTAATTTTTTTTAAATACAAGCCACGCCCCTCTAGTTATTTCTAGTTATTATTATGGTTTTAATAATTTACATGTGTCATGTTTTTTTGAAGCAAATCATATGCAGTAACTAAAGGGGGGACATAATCCTTCAGAGCCAAAAGTCTTCACTGTCTGTTTTCTTTTATAAGTATTCAGACCTGCGATACTCTCTGGTATTAGCTTGACAGTACTTCTGTCACACACGTATCATACGACAAGGTAGACATCAGCTCATCCCCCCCCCCCCTTGAACCCATCGGAAATTTCTCAATACAAGACAGCGAAAAAAAAAAAAAAAAAGCGCCGATTTTAATGTCCCACCTACGTCATGGTGGAGCGTGTGAAAAAGGTCGCGGCTTGTCAAGTGGCAGAAGTGAGGGTTAAAGGGAGAGTATGCTAATGTGCTTCAACTTTTTTTTTCAAAAATGTGTTGGTTCAAAGTACCTGATCGTGGGCTAATTATATTTCACTTCATGCTATTTTTTTTATACACGAACTAGCTGATACCCCGTGCTTCGGTACGTTGGGAAAAAAAAAGTTAGATAAGTTTGGTATATGCTTTTTTATTTAGTATTGAACATCCGTCTGCACACAAACACACCAATTTTAAGATTTAATCTGATTGAAGACCTTTAGTTATCGCTAATATTTCTTTACATCAGATGTACCCCATAAATATTATATATATTTTGTAAAATTTGTGTATTTGTTGGTTGTTTTTTTTAATCATTTGTACAAAAAAGTGGTAATATCAGTATGTTGAAACTTATAACGATAAAATGCTATGACAACCTTAATGTCACCTTTATGCTAGTTTTAATTATAACTATTTAAATTGTACCTTTTTACTTAAAAAAAAAAAAAAAAGGAAAAAAAAAATGTTTAAACATTTATTCATATACTAGTATTTGTCCAGGTTGTAAATGAGGGTTTATCTTGAAGTTGTTGTTACTTTGTCGACATTATCTTGTTTTGTAAATTTTAAACCAAAGCCTAGGATTATGTTTGAAGTTTGTGTATTTGATAAATGCCAAGTTACATGACAACATTTCATTTAATATTATAATTGAATAGAACTGTTGGGGGTCATATTATGGATCAAGGTTTAGGTCGGGGTTGGACAATCTCAGAGCAAGACACGCAGGCTCTTAGCAGGACCACAAATCAAGGCATATCACAAACACACTGTGTTCTGATTAGAGTCTTCTGTCAATTAAAACATACTATAGCACACTTTAGATACACTCTCTTGACCTAGTACACATAACATACACTCTCCTGACCTAGTACACATAACATACTCTCTTGACCTAGTACATATCACATACACTCTCTTGGCCTAGTACACATCACATACACTCTCCTGACCTAATACACATCACATACACTCCCATGACCTAGAATACACAAGTACACGACCTGTGGAGGTTGGTCCAATAAATAGATGTATTTTCCAAAGTCCCCGCATATCTAAAATGCAACAAACGAAATCTCTTTAAAGATTCAAAAGATACAAAAAATTTATTTCTCTATTCATTATAAAACATTTGATTTCAAATCATTTATAAAACACTGTGTTATTCAATATTTAATCATATTAATAATAATAAGAAGAAGAAGAATTAAAATAAATCAACACCTGAATCAACCTTGTAATTTGATACCTAGAAGGCCTACTTAATCTTCTAGATCTAACTTATTGACCAGATTTCTTACACAGATATACAAGATACATGCAAAACTAAAAGCAGTTAAACTGTGTGTAGACAAACTGGCACAAATTATTTCATTTTGCGATACAATTTTATAACAGCACACATTTTGTTTTCGAAATGTATGATTGAAATAGTTTAGCTCTACCCCAAGAAAAATTCTGGCCAAAGTGGAATACTGTAATGACGCAATCGTGTCCTCCGCACAGTACGTCACTGTTTTAACACTTCATTTTAAGTTGTTTTTTTTCTAGCTGAGTTTCTTGAGATTTCTGTGTTTCTTTGTTTTACTTTATTTCATTTAATATGCATACTGCCCATATGATTTTTAGAGTAGACTCAGCAGGAACTAAAACGTGAACATCGAATGAATTGAACAGAGACTTTTAAATGTACATGTGTCTAACACAAGACTGACTTTGGGTAAAAGTAACGAGACCTAGGTTGAAAGCAATAGATGATTGAAATACAAACAGATTCAGATGAAAGCACTTTGGGGGCATGTGTACAGGTTACATCAGAAAGACAATTAGGCACACATTGACTGGACACAGAAGGTGGGTCAGTCAATGCCATCGGGTGACCATCAGAAAACATTAACTGGCTGGACAAATGGTGCCGCAAAGTATAGAGTGGTTCTCACTGCGATCGAACACACACGCAAATCATCAAAAGTTTCACATTTAAAAAAAAAACAGATAAACCCAACCATCTGCGACACTAACCTATACAATATACTTCTAATACAAACACATCCATTCATCCAAACACGGCTAAAAGAAACAAACAAGTTGAAGCAAAGATAACACGTGGACAAGTGGTGCCCATGTGTTCCACATGGATGCACAAAACGTGTCCACCTATCTGGGACTTAACTCTTTCTCTCCGTAATTCATTTGCTCATTACTATTTCACTACCCCTGTTATGATTGGGCTTCAACAGCTTTATTGTTTGTTATCAGAAAATGTTTTATTTGGTATAGAATTAAAGGGAATTGCATGCTCTTTTTATATAATTCAAAGTCAAGTTTAAAAAAATTAACATTAATTTAATTTAATGAAATCAAAATCAACGATGGTATCGTCGATTAGGAGAGAAAGATTTAAAACCTTGAGAAGCAGAGGAGGAAAAATGCTTACTAATACCAAGGTCAAGAGATCAATATTTACATCAAATAAGCAAGAGTTCCTTTCAGTCACGTGTTAGATTCATTCAATCTTTAAAAAGCCTAAAATTTCAAAATTAACATAAATATAAAAAAATAAAAGGTTACTGTGAACTGAAGTACAGAGAATTGAATTAAGTCATATCCATCACGATTGGCTGCGACAATAAGGCATGTGACTAATGACAATTTGCTAAATATTATTCAAAGGGGTCAATACCGATTAAATATTAATACACATTGTCTTATGAAGTTTGGAGACATCAATCACTTACAGTCAATGTCAGTCTGTATAACATAAAATGTACATATAAAACAAATGAAAGCTCTTAGGGAAGGAAAAAACATAAATAGCTTACAAAGCTGAACAAAAAATATTATACAGATATCAGATTACTATTTCATTGCCTGCTTCTATCGACACAGTTTCCACAGCATTGTGTTCTAGATATAGTTACCTACCCTGTAACTTTAAAAAAAAAAAAAAAAAAGGAATCTGCAAATTGTGATACGACTTTGTAAACAATGATACGCATTAAGATGTTTTAATAATGAAAAATAAAATAGTATAAAAAAATATGCAAGGGCTATTAAGTTGGTACTACAAGCAGGAAGTGACATTTCGCAGCATTATAGTCCTACAGACAACTGTCATACTCTTGATATCTACAGACTTTCACTGTTTCTGATTCTCCCGACCCGGCCAACCATGTGGCACGTCCCGAACGGCACCCTATGTTATCGGTTTCTGCACTAATCCCTGAGTTCATTATGTCCCAGCGCCCCCCCCCCCCCCCCCCCGCGGGCTTTGGAAAAGAGCTCGGACGATTACAGAGGGTGGTGTCATATTAGCATTGTAACGCACGCCCCTTATCCAACAATTTATTACACCGAGATATACACTGTCTTGTAAGTGCCCCCCGCCACCCAAATAGACGAGGCACCCAATCACCTTTAAAAGAAGCGGCGTACCTTTAGCGAGGGATCGGGGGGGGGGGGGGGGCGGTGATTACGGTCAACTAGAGTACATTTTTATACAGTATTATATAACAACACTGGGGTGTTCCTCAGCATATGTAATACGCCCCTGCTATCGTTTTGTATGCCATTGTTACTTGAATTCAATGGATACGACAATGTAAGACGGCTAAGCTAGAGCGGCTATCTAAACCAACCAGACAAAGGCGTTGTCTACAGAGCTTAATAAGTAATGTCAACTCTCATTTTTTTTACACTCGCTAGGGGGCTCGGCGAAGGGATTAGCCCGCTGACATATTTACTAAATCGTATGCCTGCTAAACAATGTCACTTTTCATAGAGCTACCACGTGACCCTGCGAATGTCTCAAATTCCAAGTATGCAAATATTTTGTCTTAATTAGTTGATGAGCCCAAAACACAAGATAAGATAACCCTGCCCCGCCCATCCAGTGTGTTACTTACAAAGTAAGAGTCCTAGGCAACTAAGTCATCCATTGGTGTATGTACACAAACATGTCAAAATGATGATGAGTTTAAATGATTCATCTTTAAGTCTATTGTATGAAGCGATAAAGAGACAAAAAAAACTATTTAAAAAAAAACACCAAGAAACCTAGATCTATGTTTATGCAATCCAATATGTGAACAAAAATACTTTAAAGTAGAATAAAGCTACAAGCAGGGCAATATGCCTACTGTAGACTGCGGTGTCATTTAATGGCCTGACATATTTGCTTTCCGAAAAATGTTTTACATTCTTGAGATAAGCCCAAAGAGAATGTTCGAGCAACTTGTCTAGCAGACGACACAAATGCAAGAGCGCATAAACATAGGTTTAGAAGGTAGGTGATAAAACTCCTCCTAAACAACTTAGTCCAATAAAGTCATGCAGAGCCGGATGTTTTGGTCAGTGACAGCAGTAAATGACTTTGCAGTTTGGCGGGGTTTTTTTGTATTATATTTACATAAATTGAGAAATACTTTAACAGAAAATTAAAAAAAAGACTTAAACAAAAGCCAAAAAAAAACTAACAAAAACTTAGGGAAACTCTAAACAGCACTAACCTATATTTTCAACTAGCAGAAATACCCAGCCTGACCCTTGTTAATTGTACAAGATAAAATAAAACCTAAACAAATTAGCTAAAATATTTTCTTATTTAATCTAGGGCCTTAATGGTTATGTCAAAAGGGGAAGGTTCAAACACATCCTAAGACCTCTCTGCAACAATCTTGGGAATAATGGGGATTACTCATGCCAAAAATTGTGATATCTACTTCTACATACGCACACATACACATTATTATTTGCTTCACCTATAAGATGACAGGACATAGAAGTGTTTATAATGTAATTAAATCACTAGCTGATCAGACATGATATGGTGTTCTCAGTTCTGACACCAATTATACAAGATCTGATACAGAATGCTCTGTGATTACAAACAAAACAGATAACATAAAGAAAGGTCAAGGCACAGTTCAAATATGTACACACATTAGAAAAGGAAGCACTTGATTGGTCCCATTCATCAATATCACTTGCCTAAATAACATTTTTTGATCAATTACCTACATAACATATTACTTTATCACTGACCTATACAACATATTTTTTTAATCACTTATCTCCATCACATATATTATTTATTAACAATTCTAATGTAAAAATTGACAATGATGTTAAAGTAATGTGTGTGTGTGTGTGTGTGTGTAGGAAAAAGGGAGGTAAGTGAGGTCAAAAAAAAAAGGAGGAAACTGCAGTTATCACATTGAAGTCTTCCCATCAATCACTAGTCCCTCATCTCGAGATGTCTGAGTTATCACAGAAGGAAATCAAGCAGACGTAATTTTTAAACAAAACTAGATCTGGAGAAGGCTGATGGGGGGGGGGGGGGGGGGGAGATTGTGGGGGGTGCTTAAAAAGATGATCCTTTATTACAAAGAAACACATTTCTTCTACACCTTTTAAAAATCAATGTTTCAGGATGTCATTTACATTTTTTGTAAATTTTTAAATTAGTGAAAGTTAACTTTAAAAAATTATATCTGGTATTTTCTTCAACGGCGGGCAATGAATGTCTTTAATAATACCGCTACTATTGGTTATATTTCACATTATTTGAAATGAAAACATTTATTTAAAAAAAAAAAAAGGGTTTGGGGGGGGGGGGGGGGAGGCCATGCATATTCCAACATTGCCATTCTTAATTTATGTTATAAAAAAACTATATACAGAAAACAAGAGGGGAATTTATAATGCAACACATGTGTAACGACTAAGAATGCGATTCTTATCCTATCTTATAAGATTCTTGTGTACGGTTACTTAACCTGTGCACAATTGGTCAAACAATACAATTTAAAAGCCGACTAGCAAGTAGCATAAAGAGATGTTTTACTCCGGATCTGTTTTCTATAAATAGAACATTTTAAAAAAAAGGGAGGTAACGTTAAAGATTTTTTTTTTAAATGCAAGCCTGGCCGAATTTAAATAAAAGTCTGTGTACTCATTGATCTTCATTGTGTAATTCACCAACTTACACTGGGGAGGCGTACAGGGAAAAGGAGGAGGGGGGAGGAGGGCTTACTCTTCAATGGAGTGACTGTTGGCAGACGTAGAAGCCACTGGTAGGGAGAAGAGACGCATGTTTTTGTTTGTGTCACTGGATCTACAAGCTCCATTGGCAGGCCTTCATTCATTTTAAAGAAGCTGGTCTATTGAATGACCTGCCACGCCCCTCTGTCTCGAACTTTACAAAAAACATGTCTATAACTCTAAACATTTGTTTTAAAAGGGGGGACAAAAAAATATCCTTTAAAGAACTACAAAACAAGAACGGCACAGCCCACCTACAAAATATCACAGGGGAGGTAATCAGAGAGGAGGTACTCATAGATTAAGGTTTTCTGCATAACATTTCAGTGAATTATCTTGAGGATATTTTACAATATTTCACATTTGTTTGAGTGTATAGTCAGAGAAACAATTACTAAAAGATTTGAATAATTAACAATATTTAACACCTCGAAATACAATATTAATGTTAATTAGAGATTTTGATTTTTTTCTTTAAGTTACATAACAAATCAAACTTGACAATGGTGAAGTTTAAACATTTGAAACATAACTAATCTATAAACAAGCTCATCCATCACAATGCTAGAATAATTAAATCTTTAACTGACAGCTCTAAACCACATAAATCATTTCTCCCTTATTAAGAAACAAGAAGCTCTTTTGCATAAGCGAGAGAATGGAACATTGACCTTTCAGTACATGCTACTCAGTTCTTATGAACTAAAAAGTCCTTCAAAATTTAATTAATACCATACAGACATCAAGTAGCTATAGTTTTCCCGTGGGATCCAAACCTAGAGAGATACACTCTTTAATTTAACTATACGCTTAGGCTAAGCTGATAAATGAAAAATTGAAAAAAATGCGAACTTGAAAAATACAGTATTATAACTAGCACACAAAAAATCCAGTGTGTAAATAGGCGTTAAATTAATCAGTACTTAAGGCGCCTTACTGAAATCCCAGTGCTGGCTCTTGTTCAATACTTGCCAGTGAAAGTGACGTGAAATTCCCACAAATATTTTGAAGCTTTCTAAAGTCAGTCTGTTAATTTCAAGTACATTATTTACAAACCAAGAAGGCTTAGAGTTCCAGCCCCGGAAGTTGAAAAAGTAGAATGTAAAAAAACACAGAAAACAAAACTAGAATCAGAAATAACTTCAGTATTGCTCCATGACCAGTGTGACGAATCTGCAGTCCAGATACAGTCCAGTTGGATGATAAATTAAAGTCAAAGTCAACTCTGCTTCCGAAATGTACATGGCTAGTTCAGAAGAGAGTTCCGTCACAAGAAGCAACAGAACCTCTTCCACCCAGCCTTTTTCAAGCTGGAGCTGTGTCTGTCTTGAATGGACAACTTTTTCCTAGACTTACGAATTTCTTTGGAGCGGCCGAGGTCCGTGATGTTAAGCGCCGCCAGAATAGCCTGGTCGAACACGTCTTTCAAGTTCTTCTGCGTGAGGGCCGAGCACTCCATGTAGCCCACAGCCCCAATGTCTTCAGCCAGCTTGGCCGCGTCACTTTCGGACACTGGCTTCTCCTTGTAGCCGGCGAGCTCAATCAGGATTTTGACGTCGTTGCGTAGGTCGCATTGGGTGCCGACCAGCATGATGGGTATGTCCCTGGCGTGCTTGCGGATCTCGGGCACCCACTTCTCAACGACGTTGTTGAAGGAGGTAGGGGAGACGACGCTGAAGCACAGCAAGAAAATGTCCGTGTGGGGGTAACAGAGGGGGCGAATGGTGTCGAAGTCATCCTGTAGAGACACAACAAAAAAAAGTATATATAAGACCAAATCATTTGGTTAATAGCTGTACAGTAATGTGTACAATCATTGGATATCTTTATCTGAGTAGCCCAGTCCCTGCTAATGTTCACAAGCCTTTGTTCATATTGTTAAGGCCCCAGTCAGGTCGTTCAAGCTGTCGATGTTATGTTATTGAGCGACGTCAAAATTACTCTCGAACCGCCTCGAACTTGGGTCATATAATAATGAATTTGAGATTACTTAACCATTATTTAATAACAAAAACAATAATAATGTTATTAGACCTAATTGCCTGCCAGAAGGCGGTACTGCTGCAGACCCGCCACATCACGAGAAAATTCCTCAGGGGACACTGATAAAGGGACAACAGTGAATTTTTTATATATTTTTAACAACACCCGACCCCGGATGTGCCACAGAATGAATACTCGTCAGTTCCTAGCACAATAATAATAATAATAGTGATAATACT